GGTGGATTAGGACATGGCTGACTGACCGAAAGCAGAAGGTAACCATTAGTGGGGAATCATCGGGATGGCGGCCAGTGACAAGCGGGGTCCCCCAGGGGCCGATCCTGTTTAATTTTTTCATAAATGACATGGAAGAAGGGGTGAACAGTCTGCTGATCAAATTCGCAGACGATACTAAAACTGGAGCAGTGGCCACAACTGAGGGGCAGGTACTCCAGATCCAAAAGGATCTGGACAGACTATGGAAGTGGGCAGGAGACAACAGGATGGCATTCAATGTGAATAAGTGCAAGGTCTTGCACTTGGGGCACAGGAATAGGTGTCATAAGTACAGGTTAGGTGACAAGTGGCTGGAGAGCAGCACTTGTGAAAGGGACCTCGGGGTACTGGTTGACTGCAGGCGAAACATCAGTGTCAGCAGTGTGATGCTCTGGCAAGAGGGTGAGCGCCACCTTTAATTGCGTAGCCAGAAGTGTGGCTTCTAGATCAAGAGAGGTATTACTACCCCTCTATACGGCTCTGGTGCACCTGCAACTGGAGTATTGTGCTCAGTTTTGGGCCCTTCTTTACAGAAAGGATATAGCCAGGTTAGAGTCAGTGCAGCGTAGGGCCACAAGGTTGGTGGTCGGTTTGCAGGGGATAGGGTATGAGGCAAGACTGAGGGAACTGGTCTCTTCAGCCTGGAGAAGAGGAGATTCGGAGGGGATCTGTTGACGACATACAGGTATGTGAGGGGATGTCACATGGAGATGGGTAGAGACCTGTTCTCCCCTGCAGAGGAGGGCTGGACACGCTCCAATGGAGCAAAGCTCAGGGAACCAAGGTTCCATTTAGATGCCAGGAAGCACTTCCTGACAGTCAGGACCCCCAGGGTGTGGAATGGGCTTCCACGAGAGGTTGTTGAGGCCCCATCGGTGAGGGTGTTCAAAGATAGGCTGGAGATGCACATGGTGGGCATGTTGTGAGCAGAGCCAGCTGGTGCTGGAGGTCAGACTACATGGCCCAGGAGGCCCCTTCTGATTCGCTCTGTTTCTATGTTTCTATGCTGGAGCCTTGGTAAAACTGGAAGAGGACAGCATTGTTTAGAGTATCTGTTTGGCCTCATGCCTAGATGTGGCTTTAAAGCCCTCTTCCCTCCCTTCCCCACACACTTTATTGCTGACTCTGCTTCCTGATCCCATTGTGGGATTAGGACTGAACCAGCAGCTTGGGGGTGGGGTGGCATGGAGGAGCCATTGCATCCCCATACATTCTGCCGCCTAACCTCTATGTGGCACTGTGGCAAAGCAGAACTGCACTGCTACACTAGTATTTAATTCCCACTAAGGCCAGATGGGAGAATCCTTGTTTCTCTAAAGAACCTACAAACTACTGTGGGTGGGAGTGGCAAGTGTACAACAAAAGTCTCAGAAAGTTTCTGTGAAGATTTAAACCAACTTGAATGCAGTTCCACCAAATATATTATTTTTTTTCTGGCTTCCTATAGCCATTTAAAACTTGGAAGAATTTTAATGAAAACATCTATTTGTTCTTTCTTTACTCTTGTGTTATGTGCTGTCCATCTCTCTTTGATTTATGGTGACCGTATAAGTGAAAGCCCTCCAAAATGACACTCTCATTCAACCCTTGTAAATTCGAGTCTCTGGCTTCCTTGATGAAGTCATCTCACATTTATCTTTCTTCTTGCTTTTCTTTTCTTCTGGCTTCAACTTTCCTAAGCATGATTGCCTTCTCCGCTGAGTTTTCCTTTTTGATGATGTGCACCTGATGATGATGAGGAAAGCATTTAGACAGCAGAAATGACTATGCTAGCCCCATGCTTTTTAAAGATTGGAAAGCATAGGAAGCACAGAGGCAATCCTAAGCTCAATGCTCCTCCTGCTGGGTACCCATAATTCTCTTGAAGAGTTACAGCAGCCACATTGGATAGCAACCTCCCTCTGCAGACATAAGAGTCCCTCAAGCTTGTGCAAAAACAAGGAATATCAAAGGGGCCAAGAAGACCATTGGGTCTAGGGTCACCAATTTATACCATCCCACTCAGATGACTATTCAATTTCTTTTTTAAATGTGTCTCATGTGGGAAAGCTCATGACCTTTCTAGGCAACTGGTTCCACTGTTACATTGCTCTGACAGTAAGGAAATTTTTCCAGATATCTAGCCTAAATCTGGATTGTCGCAACTGGAATTGATTATACCTACCCTCTGGTATCAGTGAGAAGAGAGCTTGACCTTGTTTGTGGCAGCCTTTGAAGTATTTCTTGAGTGAATTTCATGTCCCCACTCAGCCTTCTCTTAGACTGAACATACCCAATTGTCTCAGTCTCTCCTCACGGGACAGCATTTCCAAACTCTGGATCATTTTGTTGCCCTCCTCTGGACCCTTGTAAGAACTTGGAGCTATATAAGGATGATGTCTAATGTCAAATGATCAGAAGAAAATATTATAAAAAGCTCTTATAGTTCACTTATTATCTGTAAAAAGTATATATCATGAATACGTTGGAAGTACTTGTCAACACTTGCAAAGCTCTGTCCCTACAGCTTTAATTAATATGCTTAACATTTATTTTTTGTCCCTGTTTTTTCCTGTCCTGTTTGTTAATTAGAACCCTGTCATGAATATTTGGTTGGTGGATCAGTGCCAGACATAAGAAAACTAATCCACATGGCCATTATATGTATGCTGAAGAGTGGCATATCATTAAAAAAAAAACATGCAAAATGACTACTTATTTTCTAATTCTCTTTCAGGATCTCAGAATTATTTATCCTACAGGCAATGGATTTCCCAATTTTCAGAAAGATCACTTTTCAGAAAGATCACTTTCCCACATTTGCCTGCAGACAATGACGGATCCTATGACGTCTTTTGTGTTAGGCATGTTCTCTACAGCCTTTCATGGAGAACATCTTGCATGTCAGATACTAACTGCAGGACTCTGGTTAACAAGGAAGCTCAGGCACCTTAAAAGGAAAATACACAAATTGAAGAAGACACTTTCATTGGCTAGAGACTCCATAGTCGGATGCACAATGGGGTTACTGGTAGTGTACATCACTCAGTGGAGGGGAAAAATAGATTCGGGGTTGTTTATTGTCTTTTACAGTATAAACTCAAAGTTGGTGGGTCATAGTCCCACTTCTGCTTAATTTGACTTCTATCATTTTTTTTAAATTCCCAAAAAGGCTCATAGCAGCATCTCATGCAAAGCATGAAAAAATTCTGGATTTAATAAAATAACTACAAGATATAATCCATCTGAATGTGACCCTCTCTTTGCCTAATCTGATAAACACATAAGGCAATATCAATACTGCAAATAAACATCTACATAGGCAGGAATGTTTTGCGTAAGGAATTAACTCATTCCAAGTGTGCACTGAATCAAATGCACTAATGAATTCCAGCATTTGCTTTATTGAGTCAGACTGGGTCCATCTAGCCTAGTACTGTTGACACTTACTGGCAGCAACTCTCCAGGATTCTATCATGACACTGCCTGGAGATACCAACAATCAAACAAGGGACTTCCTGCATTCAGAACAGGTGCTCAACCACTGAACTATGCCCCCCCCCCCACTTCCTTTGGAGTGATAAGATCTTATCTGGGTTGGCTTGGGTGGGGGAACTTTGAAGCATGCAATATTGTTTCATGCATTGTTTTTACAATTTGATATCTTTGATGCATATATATTTAAAATTATGACTCATTCTGAGCTTTGGAGATGGGGCAGATAAAAAATATTGCTACATAACATTCCTGTTCAGGTGTTTGCTGAGAATGTGCGGAGAGAAGACCAGGATTTCATGTCGTATTCCCACCTTCAAGGTTGCCGACCCTGCTAGCTGCAGCCCCAGACTTTTCATTTTTAGCTGGAAGGTCTGAGGCAGGGATCTTTGCATGTCTTCCTGAACACAAGGTAAGAAATGAATAGAGGCATACACATAAACAGGGCTGATAAAACATGAATTGTGAACAAGTCACATGAATTGAGTTTGATGCATTTGAACTGTTGTGTCTGGTTGTGTTCCTGAACATGTTTACTGAGGAATAAAAATTCTTGAACTTAATGGGACTTACATCTGAGTAAACATGCAGAGGATTGTATTATGGCTGCTTTGACTTATGCCCCAGAAAATCCTTTGAAAGTGGATTTAGATCCAGGTTGCTGCTAGTTAACATGCAGACAAGTGAAAAATGAAATCAAGCACAGGATGAGGCAGAGCAAGGCCTGTGAGGTGTTGATATCAGGGGGCAGCAAGATGCTGAAGGAGAAAGTGGTGTACCACACAGCCTGTCCTGTGCTCCCTAAATCAGCTTGTTGCCCTCAGGTGTGGCACTGAAAGCTGTGGTATCATTGGTGCTGAATCAGAAAATAGACCTACACAGCCGAGGACCAAAATACCTCATAGAGGAACTCTCCAGGGGCTTATTCTGAGGGAAGGAGAGCAGGGCAGCGTGTGGTCCTCACCAAGGCCCTCCTGGCACCACCACTGTTACCTTCTCAGCACCAAGCTAAGTACTTGCTCCCATACACTGGACAGCATATGATAACTGGTCCTGGATTTGCCACTGTTCTGCACTGTGAACTGTTTTGTACTCTAGTCGGGATTACGTCGTAAATCCAGATGGGATTTCTGTGTTTCGCCTGGGACTCCCTTCCATTTCAGTCTAAGCCTCAGGCAGCAAAATCCGTAGGGCTTTCCCTGGATAAGCGAGGTTGCCCTCCCCTTGCGGTTCGTTGCGTTTGGGATGCTACCCGGTCGAGCCAGTTCTTTACACATCCAGCCCTGCAGATGTCAGTGTAGCCTGCGAATAGCAGCGCCAGGGGCAGGGGAGGAAGCCTTCCCCCGCCCCCGTCCCGGCTCCCTTCCTCTCCAGTCTCCCGTTCCTCGCCTGCTGTCACTAAGAGCCAGACTAGCTGCAGACAGGCGGGAGGGGAGGGGGGGAGGAGGAGGAGGAGGAGGGACTGGGACTGGGAATGAGTTGGAAGCAGACAGCCTCAGCGCGCAGATCTTGCCTGCCGGAGGAGACAGACAGACAGACAGACAGCCGCACAGGCGGAGGGAAGGAGGGAGGGGAGCAGGAGGAGGAGAATAAAAGAGACTTCGTCTGCTCTGCATGAGGAAAAGTCCTCCTCCTGGTGCTTCGGCGGCGTGTAGGGCTGTCATGAAGGAAAGGTGAGTGTGGACAACCTGCCCGGGGAGCGCGGGGCGTGGAGTGTCTTGCGTCTCTTGCCCTTGGCAAATAGGCGCTTGGAGCTGCCGCGCTCCGGGAAGCGCGAGTCCCCGAGAAGGAAGGAGTTGCTCCAGCAGCGGCAGCTCCTAGACAGCTGGAGAAACTAAGTGTCTGGCAAAGTGAGGAGAGGCCCAAGTTGAAGGTCTGCTGCGGCTCTTAAAGAGACAAGGCGCTTCTGGGGTTGCACCGAAGGAGAGGTTTCTCTTTCTCCTTTGTGTCTTTCGCCGTCGCTTTCCTTGGCACACAGGCAAAGTGCGTGCAGGACTGTGTGTGTGTGTGTGTGTTGTCTCGCTCTGTGTGTGGCATACTCCCGAGATGCAAGCTATGAACAAAAACCACACGTTAGCTGGTGGGACCCACCACACACCGAGTAATCCCTGTAGCGTACATGCTTATCCAGACGACTGCATATTCCAGTGGGGTTTTGCCCGGGTTTGAAATAGTATCAGAGGATGCATCTGCCTTTTGGGAGCTGAAATCAGAGGAGGACAGTTGGAACTAAACCCTGCCAGGGCTTCCTCAAACACTGGCATTTCTGTTACTTTGTCATTCAAGAAGTCTGGTTACCAGTAGAGGCGTGAGGTTAACCATCACTGCGTCACTATTAGTATTACTACTACTACTATTATTAATAATATTATTATATGAAATAACTATTTGTCATGTTTGATACAGCTTTGGGATGATTGGTCTGTGCATGTGAGCCGCAACTGGTTATACTGTTTTGTTGGGGGATTTTAATAGCGGGAGATAGCGCTGGAAAGTGTTTAATTGACATTTCCGACTTGTATTGTGGTTTGAAGGAACTACTGAGAGTCCCAGATAGAGTTTTTTGAGTTGGTGTCTCAAGAGAATGGCAACTGTATCCCACATCACTGCAAGCAAAGCTTTATACAACAGAATCATTTAATATGAATGAAATGTAAGGCAATAGAGGAATCATTTTCAAGCTAATGCCTTTAAAATACACACACAAATAGCAATATATTTCAACATATATTTAATTTTTACTTGCTATACAGCTGTACACTCAAAAACTGCCCCAGGAGGTTGTCAAAGAGGAGACTGCTAGCTGTACACTGTGCAACAGACTGAGGCATGCGACTTTTATAGGAGAGGCAATAAGCATCCGCTGGGGTCTCAGCAAATGGAAAGTCAATACTTGCCGAAATGGCTTGTCACTTTTCACACTTTAATAGAACAATTCTTTATGCATCCTCCTTTTATGTGTTGGCTTTAGGTGCAGTTAGGATAAGCTTCTGGAGTAAGCTGGGAATACTGTTATTAGTTGTATATTTTATATATGTATATGCAGATTGTTTTTGTTGGGATTACTTTAATGGTGAATTTTGAAGCCATTTCATTGAAATAAACCATAAGATAAACCAAGCACAATCTGTGCTACTTTCAAGATCTGACCTTTAACATTTTTAAAAGTGGTTCTTTTAGCATGCAAGTGGTACAAATTATGCAATTATTCATTTAGTAGTTTAAATGTGGTACCAGAGGAGCAGTCAGTGTTGAAAAACATGCTATTTTAGAATGCCTACTAGCATTTTTGCCTTCTTTGGATTGTGTGTATGTATGTATATGCATACATATAAAGGAATACTTTAGCTGAAGGAGTTTTCTGGAAAAAGAAACAGGAAGTGACTTAAGTAATAAGGACAAAAGGGTATCTTGCAATTAAGAGTTTGGCAGTGTAAGCCTGTGCTTTCTCAGAAATAAGTTCCTCTGTGTTCTTAACTTTGCAAAGACTTGCAATTTCAGAATATAACTACCTGTAGCTGACAATCTGTGTAGTGAACAGTTTGGCTTCTAGGGAAGGGATTCTTACCTGTCACCATTAGAAATCTGTTATATTTCTTCTTATTCTGGGTTAGCATTTAATGCTCTCATTTCTGAGTTACACACAGTACAATCATGTACATATTTACTCTGAATTAAGTCCTGTTGAGTTCAGTGGGACTTACTTCCAGGTAAGTAGATAGAATATTGCTGCCTCAGCCGATTTAACTGAAGTCTTATATTGAGTTCGCTCAAGTGTTAATTATATTTGTTGGTGATGGTGCTGTTGTTTGGTAGCTTCTAGGAAACATGTAAATATTCCATTTTCCTACTGCTAGAATTAAAGGTGATAGGTTATTGGGCAGGACATTAGAGGAGATGGCATATATTAAAACTGGTGAATGCCCTTACTTTGTTGCCAGCTGAAATAGTGACAAAATGTTCTGCACATCTATATCTGTACTGGTGCTTTCAGTATTGAGTTACTATGAGTGTACCACAAGAATCTTTAGTGCCACAATCGTAACTGCAAAATATTCTATGCACTTGAAAGTATGAAGTGACATCTCTATTTTGTGCTTGGGCCTGTATTCTTTTCTGCCTCCTTGATCAGATGATTCATAGGCATTAGATTATTATCTGTGACTGTGCACAGGTAACCTATGCTTCTGTTATTACAGAGCTCAGTTTTCCAACAATTTGAAGGGTGAACCCTACGATTCCTATACTAGTAAACTCTTTCTGATTACGTCTATACTGTTTCTAAGTGTGGTCTCTTATTTCCTCATTATGCATTTTTGGTCTGCAGGTCTGTTTCCTCCTTAAGGAGGTGCCAATGTTCAGTGTACCTGTCTTCCATTAGCATCAGTTGTGCCTCTGTGAAGGCCATAACTGAGAAGAGAATGAGAGGAAGTGGTGTGAAGACTAATGCCGGCACTGGCCTGAGATGCCTTGCTGAGGGAGCATGGCTGCAGCAAGCTAGGCGGCACTGGCGGTTCCTCCTCCTGCAGGAGATCTGCTGCTCCGATTCAAGTTGGTGAAATAAAGCTGCTGCCTGTTGGTGGTCCCTTTAGGATTTCAGGCCAAAATTGCATAAGAATCTCTATGTTGTTTGTAATTGCTCAGAAGACTTGAGAATTCTGGCATGAGTTTCCTATCATAGTGCTAAATTTCAGTTCTACTCTTTCTGATTTCAGGTGGTTTGTGTTTGGGTAGACTGCCCCTTAACCTCTTTACCTGGTGTGATTTCCAGATGTTTCTTCAGGGAAAGTGTGCACTCCTGACTTCCTTTATTTTTGAACATTTGTTTTGGATAAGTTAATTCACTTAGTGGTTAGCAGCTTTATAAAAGTGGCATCATAGCTGATCAATCGTTGTGAGAGTTTTCACTATTGCTGGACTGGGTGAAAGATTACAATAATAAGTTTCTAGTAATCTTTCTAGGGGCACACTTTACTGAGGATGGGGGATAACCCTTGGAACTTGGAGGATGATAAGCATCCTTTGCAGGGTGGAAAAAGCAAGGACAGAAAAGTTGCTCTATATTCTTCCCACTTTGAAAAGCAGCTAGATGGTATCCAACTAACTGGTGCTTTGGATTGGGAAGAAAGGAGGCCGAGGCACCGCCAGCATATTTTGAATATCACAGTGTTGGTCTCCTTGTAGAAGACCCCCAAAACCTATTCTCTAAGGTTGTTCTTCTAACCTCAGAGATTTATTTATTTAAACTTTTCTATACTGTCCTCTTACCAAATAGTCTCAGGACGGTTTTACAATAAACAAAGTAAGACACAGTATCATTTCTATACAGAAGTGGCTTGTGTAGTTCTTTATGTTCCAGATGTGGGAGTTGGGGTTGTGCTTTGAATGCAGAGGTCTGAGGTCAGAGCTGGGGTTCCAAAAAACCTTGTGGCCCTCTGGACACTAAGAACTATTGGATTTCTCTCCTCTTGGACTTATCACTTCCTTGGCCAAGTTAGCTTTTAGAGATTGGTTTAGAGGTGCATGAGATTTATCTCTACTGTATCAAATGTTACTGTTGAAAGTACTGGTTGGGTTGTTTAAAGTCTGTGTTCTGACATCTGTGTAAATATTTTTGGAAATGCATGCCTCCATGTGGTAATATATATCACCTAGACGTAAACTGGGTTTCTTAAAATATTTTTTATTTAGAGTAAACTCTGATGAAAGTGGTATTTTGAAGGGGATAGATATTTGCTTTTAACATGATGAGAAGTTTCTTTTATAGTATTTGGCACTAGGCATGTGTCTATCTGATGGAGTAGTATTATTTCTTTGTTCCATTATCAGCAAGGGAAACAACACATTTTTAAACAGATTCAGACAGTTACTCCAGGCCTGGTCTATACAGCTTATGTATTTGCTAGTGGCACCCAGCTAACATCAGCTGCTTCGTAAAAGACCTGGTTCCAGTACTCTGGTGTATAAGTTGCTGAGAATCCACCCTCATTGCATAAATATTGACACATTTTCCCTCTTTTCCTCAACTAATGACTGTGTCTAAGAATAGCTTCCTTGCTGGTTAGATAGACCAGGGTGGCTGATTTCTGATGCAGGTGTATCTCTTTTATTTAAAGTGTATCGGCAAATGGCAACAATAATTACCAAGAATGAGAAAGATTTCACAGTCAAAGGTTACTAGGAAGGAGAAATTACATGTATAGGTAGGGACTACCTACCTATATATAGGTACGTAGATAGACATGTTACCTCTGGCACCATAGCTGTTCCCTAGTTACCAATTCTGACATACTCCCAACAAATTAGCTATGGAAATGATAGAATGCAATTTTCTAGATATTTAACATGTCCATTCTTATGGCTGCATTATGATTAGTGCTACAATAAAACCTTGCTGAGGAATGCTTTGGTACATTAAATGTAATTCAAAGAACAATTAATAAAATGGTGATTGCAATAGGAAAAACTAATTCATAAAGGATAATCACAGTATGTTACCTAAAGCACATGCTGCCTTCTGATTTATGTTACTTATTAGCATTGATTTGTGCCACTGATTTACATGCATGTAACTTATTTGCTATCAATTCTACTGTAAAGGTAAAATTTGAGAGGGTAGACACTCTGGGTTTGTTTCAGCCTTTAGTTGTCACAGGTGTGTATACTTGCACCT